AAACGCGAAGACCAGATGAAGCAGAAGTACCCTCACTTATTCCCTCGTTCATGATCCTACCTTTCAAAGAAATTTCGGGACGAAATTCCCTCTAACGGGGGGATGATGTCACAGCTAGCATTTTTAGCTAGGAAATTCTGTCATCATGTAAACATCAACTATTGTAAGACTTGTACTAACACATTAAAGTTTACACTATGATTCCTAATGAACCATGTATTATTATAATACAAAGTATATATCTCACTCTTCCAAATCTCTCTATGTATCTCAAAACTTTCCCAAGTCTCTCCTAAAAAATAAAAAAACTATTGCATAAGCACCAACATCATACTCTCCTTTCCTAAGTTGAAAGCAACCCAAAAAGGGGGTTAGAAAGACAAAAAGAGCCAGCCCACTTCGGAATTAGAAGATTTAATCCAGAACTTAAAACTGACTTCAGACCTCCTAAGGAGTCGGACTAGATCACACCTCGGACCCCCCTGGGTTTCGGAACTCCCTCACTCCGGAAGGTCGACTCCGAAACTTTCTCTCCGGAAAGTTTCGCCTCGGAATCTTCGGTTGATCCGGACAATTCCGCCTCGGAAGATCTCGCAACGCAAAAGGACAGCCGCTCCGGACCAACTGACCCCGCATCCCGACTCCGGAAATGAGTAAACGACTTCCAAACTCGCCCTTTCGACTTCGGATATTGCCAAATGACTTCGGAACCCTGTGACCATTTCGGACCCTCGCAGATTCAAGACTTTACTCCGGATTTTGCCCATTTCGAATCTTTTCTTCAAATCAGGAGATTTTGACGTCGGGAATCCCGCCAAACTCGTATTATCGTAACCTAGACCCCTTAAACCCCTATTTTTATGCCAAAAACTAAATATTAAAACATAATTACACACAAATAATATCTTGCATTTACAAGGATATTATTTTAAATCATAAAGTGACAAGAGGGTTTGACTCTATGATTTGATGTAATCCCCCATTCTCCATGCAATTCACAGTAACCCATGAATTAGCCATCAAATAACAATGTTTTAAACCTTCAGATTTCCAAGCACATATCTCCCTTTTATCCCTTAAAACAACGACAGTAAGAGAACTTTAAACTCCACCATTTCTCTCACTTCTCTCATATTCCCTCTAATACTTCTCTCAAGAGTAAGAGCAAGGATCTTGCTAAAGGCTTAACTCCTCAAGTTCTCCTTAGAGTTTTTAGGTAAGTTATTCCATTTATCTAGTATTTTATATAATTTTCAAGATAAATTCACATTATTTCACCCATAATGATATGTGAGAAAAACTCTTAGGACAACATTCCTTCCAAGGAAGTTCCTCAATTCGTCCAAAAGTTTAGACTTGAGATCTTCACTCCATCACTCCAGTCATCCCATAAACCAACTCAAGGTGAGTTCATACCCCCTGTTTTCGATTTTTACTTTGTTTTGGGGGAGAATACAATTTGTTTTGTGTAGATCTATGTGTGTATGCATGAGTTTGTGTGTTTTCTTTAGTTACATATGTGTTTATGTGTTGTAAACTTCATAAACTTAAAGATCTACTAAAAGATGATGTTACTGGTATAACATAACACTTATTTCAGCTTATCTTACTAGAAAAGAGTTTAAAATACATATAAGTTACTCTAAGTTAGGAAAACTTCATAAAAGGGGCTAAAATCGACAAAATGACAAAAGAATGGGCTATTTATGTAACTCACGGCTAGTAAGGGGTTCAAAAGGAAATTTTTGCTAAACAAGGTTAATCTCGACATTTGAGACCTTACAAGGACTAAAAATGTAAACATTTTCATAAATGGGCCTTATTTGGGCTTCTCACGGTTTTGGGTCCAAATATTGTAAATTTTAATCTTTGGTGGGCTTAAATGTCATTTTCAAGAAAGTTGTGCCAAAAATGTAAATTTTTGATAATAAGGGTTAAAGTTGCGAAAATATAATAATTTGGGCCAAAAGATAAAAAATTTCTATAATAGGCTAAATATGTATATTTTTACAAAAATAAGCTAAAAATGATATTTTTGACAAAAGTGAGTTAAAAATGTTATTTTTACAAAAACTGGCCTTAAATACAAGTTTTGTCCAAAAAGGGGCCTAAAATGTTATTTTTACTAAAATTGGGCCTTAATTGTACATTTTTGGCTTAATTGGCCAAGAATGTCATTTCTACAAAAGATGGGTCCTTAATGCCATTTTAGTAAACAATTGAGCTAATACTAGCAAAATAATAACAAACGGGCTAATTTTTACCAATCTCAGGATATTGGGCTTTAGTGGCCCATTAATATGCTTGATAGGTCCCGTATACTATTTATATGTTTATTGGGCCTCATTGACCCATTAACATACACTACGGACCTTGGATACTATTGTGTGCTATTTGGTCGTGTAAATACCTTACATGTGAAATGGGCCTTAGTTGTCCTTTTACATATATTTTGGGCCCATGTTATATAACCTCATTCCTTTCGGGCCTAAAAATGACTTACATGCTTAGTGAGCCTTAGTTGCTCACTTACATGGTTCATTGGGCCTGGAATGAGTTTTATATGTTTTTCTTCTTGTAAATTCGATTAAGGATCTAGTGACACGTGTCGATTGACACCTATTGAGTGTACGATCGTAGCATGTAGTTATAACCAGAGTCTCTTGGAGGGAGAGCGGGGGTTTGTGTATAGATCTATACGGGGATGACACCCCACACCTGAGTTGTTCGCTACAGTTAGACTACACCAGTCTAGGGTGACGAAAACCTTATTCTATTTTCCGTCGGCGTTCATAAACGCCAAGACAGGCAAAATTGTCATTATTTAGTATGGTTATGACGACTCACTTATAGGAATTAACATTATGAAATTTACGGGAGACCATTCTTTTTCTTCTTTTACAGGCAACATAGGGTTGTCTGGGGGCATTCTCTTTACATTCTCTTCATTCACTTTTGGCATTCTATTAAACAATAACACACATGCATTAATACTAGATCGGACACAAACATACTAAACTATTTTAAGATAATACAGGATTTTCTTGTGATTACAAAGTTACACAAATCATTTTCTCAAACATGCTTATGAACTCACCAACATTTTTATGTTGACATTTTTAAATTAACTTGTATTCTCAGGAAACCGTTGAAGCAGGTTGGGATGAACCAACTAATGGATGTTTTGTTATATTTCTATTTCATCAGACTTTAATTATTTTGGCATGTAATATTCAAACACAATACTCGATGTAAACAATGTACGTTGTTATATTACATGTGTGGTGATGATGATGTTATGTTTCAATTATATACTTTGTGATGATACTCCAAGGATGAAGTCACGCGCAAGCCCCCGGACATTTCCACCGTCTGGTTCGGGGGTGTGACATAATCTCTGGAAAAAAATGTGGCAAAGTTCGTATGAAAGCAGATAGTTTGTCGCTTTGGTCTACCGCACACGATTATCAGTGACAATGGGAAACAATTTGTAGAGAACCCCTTCAAATATGGTGTTTGTAAAAAGGAATCAAACATAATTTCACTTCGGTAGCACACCCCATGCAAATGGAAAAGTGGAAGTATCCAACAAAACTCAGGTTAAAGGAATAAAGAAACGATTAGGGCGAGCCAAAGGAAATTGGGTTGATGAGTTACAAAGTGTACTATGGGCCTACCGAACGACAATACAAACACCAAACAAGGAAACACCATTCAGCTTGGTGTATGTAACATAAGCGGTCATTCCCATAGAAACAACAGTACGGGGCACGTGAACCAGAGCTCCTCAAGAAAGTGCGAATAGTGCAAATCTATGCACAAACCTAGATCTACTAGAGGAAAGACGAGCCGATGCAACTATATGATAAACAGCTTAAAAAATGACAGAGAGATACAATAACGCTAGAGTTAAAGGTACGACATGCAAGGTGGGGGATTTGGTCCTCATGAAGAACGAGACAAGCAAACAAGATCACATCGGGAAGTTAATCCCAAATTGGGAAGAACCATATCGAGTGGTAGAAGCTAGAAGCAACGACTCATACGTACTGGAAAACATGGAGGGAGTTCGATTACCAAGAACATGGAACATGTGAAACATTGAAAAATTCCATTTCTAAATCAGCAATAGTCTACATCACTTTTGACATTCAATCGAGAAATGTATCAATAGTATTAAGGTGATAATCATCTTTTGTATACCGATTGATTATGACTTTGAATACAATATTCTAATCTCTGATCGACAAACCTCTAACTACATTGTCTTTTCATTTAAATATAAAAAAGAACCATTAAAGGTATATACCGAACGAGTTATCTATCGAACCAGTTATATGCCGAACCATATGAAATAATGAACAAAGTACGAGAATATGTTACAACAATATAATAGTACATACAAACTCACAGAAAACAACCTGCACAAGGATGTTTGACTGATGGGTCCTTAAACCAACAAAGCACATCTGTAAAATGGCTAACAAGTACACACGAGTGTACCTTCGGGGGTACGACCATTAATACGATACGAAGGTAGACGTGCTCGGTATAGGAAAAGATTATGGCCTCTCAATATTTGACTATAAATATGTAACGAAGAACACTCTACAAGGTACACATACTTTACTAATCATCCCTAATTGATCATACTCTAATACTTTCATTCCCTCACTATTCGATAGATCGCCGTTATCATTATAAAGTGTTTCCTAACTTTATCATCGGAGTGTCGGTCTGGGATCCCCTCCTGACCAATCAGCTTACGAGTTTGTTTGCTGTCTCTAGATTACCCATATCACTAAGGAAGTAGCGATCTTTATAAATCATGGAAGGCGAACCCGGGGGCGCATCAATCACTTGCATATTGGTGATTTCTATTATGGACTTGGTATGTGTTTTCTTTTAGCTCTTAGGCTTTGCTTTAAAATGACATCATCCATGCTAATGTTTTTATAGGACCACTATATTTGGTGCTTTTACTTTGGACTTGAGAAATCATGAAAACTTTTCCTACTATCTATAGAGATACAAGAATGTTGATGAGGTATATATGTCTCTTATCTCTCAAATTTTAGCTCAAGGAAAGTAATATGTAGGTGAAATCCACCCGTAAAGGAATTTTATATGGGAATATTAGACATTATTAAATTGGAGGTTCAAATTGATGTTTTCTATTTAAGTTCATTTGATGTTAATAAATGTCAACTATCCTTTTTGGTTTATACATTTTAACCGAAAATGTTATTATCCATCTAACAAAATGATGAGACTAATGAAATCGGACAAATAATACACAATTCAATGCCAATTCTAGCTTCAAAGGGCTAAATGTTAACCAACTAAGTTGTTTGATGTGATGTACTGGTTTTATTGCAGAAGAAAGGCTTAATTAACTTCGATGATATACCATGGCCTTCTATATTACCGAAAGTCAAAGATTTTGTTAAAAGGCTATTGAATAAAGAGTTAGAGAGAGAAAATAAAGAAAATTATTTGATTGGTTGATGAAGGAGATAACCAATCATCTTTCTTGTTTTATCTTGTCCTCGTTACCACAAGATCCAACATAACGAGTTTCAACGAGTTTGGGGGGGGGGGGGGGGAGGGGGTGTTCCCCGCGTCGTGACGCCGTTTTCATGTGCCAACTCTGCCAATTCGTTTCTCGTTGTGACCCACACCGTATACTCTTAAAATTTCGACTAGGTCCCGATTAATCTCCGATTAGTTCATAATATACGGTACCCTACAGACTAGAAGACATATAACGATTAATTCCCGCCTAGCAAACAATGAAATTTAATACTTTGAAGTTCTATCCCAATATAGATTATTTGATGACTGATTAACTAATTATATTAACTTATTTTATTATGATATTAGTGGTATTTACTAATTTTGTTACGATATTAACGATATTCAATTTTGTAAAATTCAACAAATTAACCATTTAATGTCTCAGATTAATCTCCGTCTAGCCGATTAATCCCTTAACCTCAGATCACCGACTAATTAACGTTGAACACTTTTTACAATCTTTATTAATTAGACATATGTTTTTCACTATCACTTCGTTAACCACTTGGTAATCGATACACATTCTCAAAGTTTGCACTACTACACTTACCCATGCGACAAAAATAATAAAAAGTATGTATTTATTCATTAGAGTTAACTCTTCTATTTAAATTATACAATTGGAAGTAACTTAACAACTCTCTTAATTATCTTATCTCGACAAAAATATTACCATTGGATGCACTTTGACCTGCCCGAGGCATATGATCCGATGAATTCCGAAGGAGTGGCGGGAGATCCGATACACGTGAGAGGCGATTTCTTTGTAGTTTGTAGCAATATAATACTCCATCATCATCGACATCAACCAATGAACCAATCCTTTTTTTGTTTCTTTCCAACCGAAAAATCGTTTTTGCAAAATTAGAAAAAGGGTTTACGGCAACCCGAAGATTTCGGAGGAAAAAAAGGTCAAAATAAAGAGTAGAATCAAAGCCTTTTCAGATCATCACTCAGTTTCAACTTCCAATCCAAAAGGTTTTTTTTTCTTCTCCATGTACTCTTTATATTCATACTAAATTTCTGTAGTTCTTCTTTTAATATCAATCGGCAAGTTCAAGCTATTCTCTGGAATTCTGTTAGGTGATCTGAAAGTTTTCCTGTATTTGTTGACTTCATTTTGGCCTTTTAGGTTTACTTTGTTCATCTTGTTCGTGCAATTTAGGGGAGTTTCAATATCGTTTCGCAATCGCTTCTGATTATAGTTCGATTTCTTCGACTTCCGTTCATAATCGAATAAATTGCAACCTTGTTGTTTTTGTATATTGTTTCTCATTCTATTCATAGAATAGTAATAATTCTCTCAACTGCTCTGCAGCTTTTTTATTAGGGTTTTTATTTATTTAGTTAACATAATACCTTCAAGAGTAAATCATTGGTGTTGTAACTTTGTATAGCTTAATGTGAATGCTATTTTTTACTATATGATGCAGGAAATAGTATAATGTATACAAATAGAGATCTCACATCAACGTGAGTAAAGTTTGGTGATTTAGAAACTACAACAAGTTCTTCATAGATGTGGCCTTTACATATCTTCTTAAACAAACTACTGAATGGAGGATATAATGTTCATGAAGACGATGTAAATTCGGTTGCATCACACAACTTCAAATCAGCATTCAGAAACGAGAAAAAAGGCAAGAAAGACTTATCGATCCAGTCACACTTCATTGATGTAAGTCTATTTACTGATTTACTCATACTCATCAAAAAATTACATTTTCTTGTAGTTTCTTATTTCCCTAAAGTAATTATGTTCGTAATATTGTATAGGTCCCACATATAAAACAAAAACACACATGGGATTGTGGCATTGCTTGTGTTTTAATGGTTTTGAGAACCCTTCACATCAATCATTATGATATCGAAGATCTTCAGGCATTTTGCAATACCAATAGGTATTTTTCCTTTTAAAAACTCTGATTCTCTTTTAATTTTCCAATACAATGTGTAATTGTTTACTTTTTTTTTTTAAAATCCCAGTATTTGGACAGTGGATTTGGCATATTTACTGCACAAATTTTCTATCAACTTCTCTTACATCACTGTAACTTTAGGTGCTAATCCGAGTTTTTCATTGGAGTCATTTTACAAGGTAAATCCTTATATTCAAAATTTATTTAAATAAATTGCTACTAGTGTTTTTATCTTTTAAAATTAACCAAAATTGATATTACAGAAGCAATTAGGTGATGATATAGTAAGAGTAAATATGTTGTTCAACAGATCACGAGAAGCAGGGATAAATATAGAGGTATGCCTCTCAACTTCCATACAAGGGTAAAATGGTCATTTACTCATGTTCGTATAATTTATTTACAGTGTAGGTCAATCAAGGGAGATGAAATTGCACTATTGATTATGTCCGGAAAATATATTGTTATAGCTTTGGTTGATCAGTTCATTTTGAGGTATAATAATAATTTCTGTTATAAAAATATAAAAAGTAAAAATTCATTAACATTATTATTTTACTTCACTTTATTTATTTAATCTTTCTATTTCTTTAGTCAGTCGTGGATAGAAGATTTTTATATATCAGATTTTTATATCGGTACCTCTGGTGGTTATACTGGTGAGTGGAAATACTTGAAAAATTAAAAATACGTATTAAATATATAAACGTGTTGCAAAATTCTATAATTATTATTATTATTTTTTATGTAATTTCATAGGTCATTATATTGTGATATGTGGTTATGATGCTGTTACAGATGAATTTGAGATTCGGGATCCAGCTATTTCTAGGTATTGTTTAATTTATACTAATTATAGGGGTATAACTTAATCCCAAATTCCAAATTTACCCATGAAGGAAATGATAATATTTGGAACTATAAAACAGGAGTAGAGGGACAATATCGTCAAGATGCTTGGAAAAAGCTCGCAAATCTTTTGGAACAGATGAAGATATACTCTTGGTAATAATAATAATAATATTTTGAGCAAAACCATTAAAAATTATAACTTAAAATTTTTTTATCCTTTAAAATTGTGACACACTTTGTTAGTTTAAATCTAATAAGTAATATCCATGACACGCTTTTGGATTTTTATTGCAGATTCATCTAGAGAATGTAGATACTTAAAACAACAATATGGTGAGGGCTTATATGTAAATTTTCAAAGTTTGATGCCTAAAATGAACTCTTACTAAAGTACGTTGCATTTTCAATGTATTTGTTTGAGTTAATTTGGCACAAACATTACATATCAATAGGTGCACTTTAAAGTGGTTATATAGATATGAGATAATAGTATTAGCCAAAAGGACCATTTGTGTAAAATATTTTGGGTATCATGAGGACCATTGTCTGATAAAACATGAAAGTTGGATTAGGGACAAAAGTTTTTAAATTTCCAATGACAATTCTACACAACTAAGTTACCAAAAAGCTTGTAGCCAAAACTTATAAATGGAGGTCTAAAGCCAATTATGTGACCCAAGCAGTTTCACGACAATAATCCAATTAAAAAAAAACTACAATAGTTTCAGCAAATTTATGGTAGCTGTTTTGAATATATATATATATATATATATATATATATATATATATATATATATATATATATATATATATATATATATATCGTTCTAGAAGGTATATATAAATACCGGAGGAAATATATTATTGAATAATTGAGTAAACGCAACCATCACCGAAATTAATGGCGATTTCCGGCAATGGCTTGCCGGAGAAGAACTATTCATCCATCATGTGGGTCAAGTTTCAAAACGATTAGTGGGCTACGGAGTTATTTTTTTAAGAGAAATTAAATATCTTCTCTTACAGTTTCTTCCTACATATCCTTCTATCCATCTTAAATGATGATATGTATCATCATTTAATGAAAATAATAATATTTTAATATATTTGTGTGACACATGATCATCATTTAATGAAAATAATAATATTTTAATATATTTGTGTGACACATGTCATCATTTAAGATGACTAGGAGGATATGTACGAGAATATTTAATTTCTCCTTTTTTTAATCATGGTGGACCAAAGCCCACAATTGCAAAGTAGTTAATTAAGCTAAAAAGATTGTTATTTCTTTATTATTTTTTTAAAATTTCAAACATATTATATTTTTCTCTCTCCATGAATTGCTCAAGTGTAACAGATCAACTTTTCCCAACAAAAACTATAACATAATAATTCACTAGGTGTGTGACCTCGTGTACTATATGGGTTTACTAAAAATAAAAGTTTAATATCAACATATAAATATTAAATATTTAAAAAAAAAATATTTTTACATAAATGTGATGATATAATGAATAAGTAACTAATTCAATTTATAATAATAAAAAACTATTGACATATTTTAAATAATGATGTTGAAAAATAAGGTGTAAACATTAAATATTTTTTAAATTAACTTTCGAAACAAATACAAACGAAATGATGAATAAAGAGTTATTGAATCTATACTAATAAAAAAAATATTGACATACTGTAAATAGTTGTTATGAATCAAAATTTTTAAATGCTTCTTTGAAGATGGTGTTCTTTTTCATTTATCACGGTAGAGACAGAGATGTATTTGCACACATATTTATTTATAAAATTTGAATAAATAATAAATTTGTTAGAATTCAAATTAAAAGTAAAAAAAAATTAAAGGTATGTTTTGAATTCAAATATATCATCACATACACGCCATGAATTATTTCATTAGATCATCCATTTGAATTCAAATATATTTGTAAATTAATAAACATTTAAATAGAATGAATATTTTACATATATAATAGTTTACATATATAATAGCAGACTCATTAATTAGTGGAATAGAATATAGATTATTGATTAATAAAAAAATAAAGATATCACATAATGACATGTGAAATTTAAATAATTGTAAAATCTCATAATGACATGTGGCAAAAGTTTTGAGAAAGTGACAAGTGGTAAAACAAAAATTTCATTTATTAGAGAGGATAATTCTTCTAATAGTAAATCCCAAAGGGATAATATCATTGTAACCATGCAAAATCTTCTTTCTTAGTTTGAAACGTCTATAATATTATTTTTTGGTAGTCTAGGAAAATAAACTCCATATTTACATATTAAAAAGTACCTTGACGTGTAATAACTGGTATATTAATAATGTGATTTTATTTTTCTTAAGTGATAAAAAATCAAGACAAAAAATTCCAAGTTACCTAAACCACCACCCTTAGGCCCCATCAAACCATCTTATAAGGGATTAAAAAACAAAAGGCACCATGACGTGATGGCCTCCCACAACATTCCAAGATATCAGTTCATCTTTGCATTTTCTCCATTCTTCAAGACCAAAGAATTCAAAACGTGAGTTTTATTTGTGAAGTAATTGTAGCGTTCTAGGGTTTCAATATAGGCATATGATTTCTGAAGGTCTAATGGAGATGACACTAGGAAGAAGGACGTTGATCAAGGAAGAGATGCGACAGTGGGCCAGGGTTTCTGATTTTTTCGATTTGGGTTTCGATCTAAAAGAAGATTTGGAGTTTGATTTATGCCGTTCTGGGGTTTTAGTATTAGAGTTCGATATGGGTCTGTAGGATGTCATTAGGATTGATTTTTGTAACATCCGGATCATCGAGGTATGAATTTTAAAAGTAAAGTATGGGTATTGGTTGGCCACAACGTTGTGGAGGCAACACCTCAACGTGGCAGGTCTTGTATGAGTTGCGCATCTTAAATGAGCGTCACGACGAGGCGATATAGTGCCCACGACGTGGCAACCATTTTATGCAAAACCCTAATTTAAGGGATGTGAAGGCTAGGGTTTTCACACCCTCAACCTCTATCACCTCCCTTTCACTCTCATAGAAGCCCTAGCCTCCATTGTTGAAGGAAGCTCACTTGGTGCATAGATCTAGCTTGCAAGCATCATCATCATCATCATCATCATCTATCTTTCTTATATTCTGGACCCTTGTAAGTGATCCAATCTTTATTGTTCTATGTCTCTAGATCTAGGTTTTGGTCCATTTTCTTCAAAGATAAGCTAGTTGGAATGGTGGGATTCCATAAACTTAACAACTTTATGAATCCTTGAGGTCCCCCTTGGAGAACATAAGGTTCATATTTGAAGTGTGTTGGTGTTTTGATCTCTATGCATGAGATTTTGGTGTTATTCTCCATTTTTGACCTAGCTTAAGCTATAGACTTGCATTGGACATGAATGACTGAAAAAACATTGATCTTTAGGTTGTAATGGACTTCAGGAAGCCTTCTGGAAGGAATGAATGAATGACTTAATGGATTAAGAGCTGAATCCATTAAGCTGAGAAAGTACAGTTCCCACGTCGTAGCAGCCTGCTCGTCACGACGTGGCAACTGGGGGATTCACGACTGTTTTGGACGGACCCTGCCACGACGTGGAAACATGATTCCCACGGCTTGGCAAAAGACTTGTTTGCGACTGAGATTTTGGATTGGGGCTGAGTTCATCAGCTATGACGTGGTCATGGATTGGCCACGACGTGGAATACTGCTAAAGTCAACGTTGACCGTTGACTTTTTGAGCTCGTTGACTTTTGGACAAAGTGTTAGTTCTAGAGTGTAAACTGAGGTGTGACCTTGTGTGATTCGATAGGTGGGTTGTAGCACATGTTTCGTGGCGTTGAGCTGAGATTTGTCTGACTTTGTGAGAAAGGTTAGTCTTCTCACTATACTATATAGGATGCTAGTTGTATTTGTGATACTTGCGTGGAAGACCCTGGAGGTATCCCATGTCATTTGTATGAAAGACCATGGGGGTAGCCTATGACACTTGAATGTAAGACCATGAGGGTATACCATGGTACCTGGATGTAAGACCATGGGGGTAGCCCATGACATTTCAAGAAAAGACCATGGGGGTAGTCCATGACACTTGGATGTAAGACCATGGGGGTAGCCCATGGAATTTCAAGGAAAGACCACGGGGGTAGCCCATGGCTTTGGGGAACTTACTAAGCTTTGTGCTTATAGTTTTTTGGTCTAAATTTTTTCAGGTACTTCCAGTTCCATAGGGAAGGGCCTGAATTGACTGCATAGCATCCCCTGATGGCTTTTCCGCACTGATTTTTACCATTTTACTCTGATGTTTGAGAGATACATTTTGCTATGATTGGTTTTGAACAAATGTTTGTATGGTTTTGATGATTTGAAAATGAAAATTTGTTTATTAGTACTTTTGGGAGGTTACAAGTGTTGGATTAGGTGTCTAAGCCCATAACTATAATTGGTATGTACTTGAATTGATAGTAGCACAGTCCTTTTGGGTTGCCCTCAACTTAGCAACTGGACAAGGAAATTATGAAAGGAGAGATATTAATTTATAAGATTAATAAATTAATATATAAATGATTTATTAATATGTTAATAGATTAATATATTAATTAGAAATCATTATGTTTAATTAATAGTTAGCCAGAAATTAATCAGAATTAATTTTGGGGTTAAAAGTATTAATTGTAAAGTGCAGAGACTAGTTTGCAATTATCTAATAGTTGAGTGGAAGGCTCCAGAACCTCCTTGGAAGGAGGTGGACGAAATCCATAGGGGAAACCCTAGAGATTTCGTCCAAGGGGTCCAAATAAGGCCTTTGGATCTTGCTTAGGCCCTAAGCAAAGGATAACTAGGGTTTTCCCTAAACCCTAGATCCCTCAGCTATTTAAGGAGCCTTCTGGCTCACATTTGAGGTCACTGATTTCTTTGGAAGAAACCCTAAGGCCGAAATTGCATACTCTCTCCATCCTCTCTCCTCCAAGTTTCCTTCTTGCTAGTTCTTGGGTGTGATTCCATTAGAGGCATTACATTTGTGGTGCTAAGCTTCCAAGAAGATCAAGATCAAGATCAAGAGGATTATCAATTGTTTGCTGCAACAATTGAAAGGTATGTAACTCCTAAACCCTAGTTTGTTAATTTCGAAATTAGCCTCTCTCCTCTAGGGTTCTTGTTTTGCAATTCAAAGTTATATGTTCAATAGTTAAAACATAGATCCAAAGTAGGTTGCATGTGAACTTAGGAATTGTTTTCTAGTTTATTTGTTTTACCTAAAACCCATCAGTGGTATCAGAGCCATTGTTTGTTTTAAATTGAATTGCTATAATAGTTGAATTGCAAATTAGGGTTTATAGCCATTAAACCCTAAAGGCCAAATTTTCGATTAGGGTTTTGGATTGAAGGGTTTTCGAAAACCCTAGCCTCCAAAGAACCCTAATCGAAATTAGGGTTAGGGTTTTGAAAACCCTAGCCTCCCCCCTTGTAAATTTCGAAATATGCTAGAAGTTTTAGGGTTTCTTGTTTTGGATAATTGTTACTTAATTAGATTAATTGGATAATTATCCTTACCCTAT